TCTTCATATCTTTTTTATTATTTATTATTTTTTATCGTATATACTTCAATTCCCACCACTTCCTTTTTTTTTTTTTTTTTTTTTTTTTTTTTTCCCCTGATTGTCTCTCCCCCCCCCTTCATATTCCACCTTCTTACCTGCCCATCTTACCCTTTACAATCCACATCATAGTAATAACGTTTATAACTAAATATTTCCTGTGTAATCTTTTATCTTCCACATGCGTTTTTTTTTTTTTTTCCCATTTCTTTCCTTTCCTTCTATTCTTCCTATCTTTCACATGTTCTACAGAAAGCAGCTGCTCACCATTTATTTTTTATTTTTTCCACCACTGCTTGTTAAGCCTGTATGCATTATACATTTTTTTTTTTTTTTAATTTCACTACCCCGCCCTCAGTTGCCCCACCCCTTCCTCCTCTCCTTATTTATTGGCTCATTCCACTAGCCAATCAGGTCTGATGAAAAGGCAGGTTGCCTAGAAACGCGTCACCGCCCCCTTGGAGGATTCCCAGCAACGTTCTGATGTCATTTCCTGCCCGGTGGCCATCTTGGATGTGCCTCAAGCTGGCTACTGTACCCACGCTGATGTGAGAGATCAGCAGTGCCTGCCCTGGATCCCGGTTCTTATCTGCGCCGCGACTCCCGGTTACTGCGCCTGCCATCCTCGCTTCCTCCTGTGGGACCCGCCTAGAGCGCCAGCCACGCAACACCTTGACATTACAGCCATCCATTTGTGAGGTGCAGCACAGATGACATCCTCCTCCTTATATATTGATGCCGGATATCTACCCACGTCTTGTGAGTTTTTATAATCTTGTGTGCAATAAACTTTTATATTCATACTGCACTTAGTCTGGCGCACTTCTCTTTCTTCTCCAGAAAGTTGTCACTCAAGCCCTTCAAGTTCACCAGGATCATGTAACTGCTGGAAAGGTTTTGGACATGTTGGCAATTGTTTTCACTAGACCATGCTGAAGCTGAGCAAGTCTGCTGACAAGTAAGTACTGTTTACCTGGTGTAATTTTGCATGTTTATTCACTAAAGTGGAACATTTTCCACTTGTGATGGCTCATTTGGTGGTGTCATTTCTTTTGTGAGGTTATAGGATAAGCTTTTTTTTCCTCAAATACAGCAGCAGTTCTGAATGTAATTTACATGTCACCAGGACATTGGTGACAAAATTATTTTTCAATTGATTACAGTAAATCAACATTTGCAAGGTAGATTTGTGACATATTGAAAAGGCTGCATGCTACAAAGCACCCTCTTTTATATTTTACCAAAACATTTATAGAAATGTTTTAAATGTAGTGCCATTTCCATTTACAAAACACTTTTCTTTAACGAAAATAGTCAAGAAAAGCACATGGACCAGAAAAAAGCAATAAAGGATGTGTTTCATAAAAATTTTATGCTTGGAAATAGGCTAGGGGGAAATTGTGCTTTCATAGAAAGCAATACAAGATTAGACCACAGGAAATACTAAGAAAGTGCATGTAATATTTATAAAGCAGTACACAAAACATGTTTTTAGATATAAAAAGAAATTTGCAACAGTTAGGAATATTAAAGTAGAAATTGCAGAGATTGAAATGCACCTGTGTACTATTGCAAGCTGCGTTACAGGAAAACAATGAGTTATTTTTGTATGTTTATAGATTTTTTGGCTTTGTGAACAATATTTTTGGATTCCCAAAATTCCAAATACAGTAAAAAAAGAAACCATTATTACTAAAAATTACTGCATTTTCTTCAAATGAAACAGTATTTGTTTTGATAAATACTACGAGGTGTGGTCATATGTCACCCTGCTAACTCTTAATCATACTCAACATTGGAAATTCTGTATTAAGTAAATAAGGCAATATTTGATAAGTTTTTGTTTTATTGGTTAAAGTGTTACTAAACCTAGGACCCTGCAATCACTATATCTGGTCTCCCACAGTACACAGAACACAGAAATGCAATTATTGTAGTAAATATAAAAGGCTAAATACCTTTTCTCATCAGCAGTTAGAGCAGTTTTGTGACTTCTATTAGTGTTCAGCAGAGCACTGGTTCAAGCTTGTAGGAGGAGTTTTCTTTCTGCTCTAGGAAATTGCAAAACCCCTGACCTCTGTCTGGACAGTGCTGATTGGCCCTGAGCTGATCACATGCACTCTCCCAAGAAAAAAAAACTCTCTAGCAATACACACTAAATTGAGCATGTGTAGAATGGCTACGGTTCAGTCTGTTTTATCAAGAGATAATACATGGACATTTGAACAAGAGGAGGAGCAGACAAGTCAGGATTAAAAGGCATTTTTAACAGGATTAAGGATTAACCCCTGAGGTTTCACAGTGAGTAACAAGAAGCATACTTTACTGCATATACAGATTGATTTTACTGTTGTGGGTTTAGTAACACTTTAAAGGTGAAATATATTTTTTCCTGACTTTGGCACTGTAGATGTCACAGTTTTTAAATGTGGTACTGTGACACTATTGTACTCTGCCTACCTGGCCTTTCTTCTGTTTAGGTGGGGAGCAGGGCAATATTTAAACATAATGCTGCTCAAAGTAAATCTCTATAATGTTTTTTGCAAAGTAGAACTGTGGCTAGGCCATGGACATTCACCGATATGCATATACTGTTTTTTAACATGCAGTAAAATGTTTTAGTTGTCTCAAATTCATCCTCAAAATTCTGAGAAAAAATACTTTAACTTTTGCTTTCTACCACCAGATGGATTTGTCACCCCCTCACCCCACTTCCCTTTCTCACCACCACCACTACCACCAGCAGTACCAGCCTTATAATATGTAATATAAGCATAGAGCACAGGAAGGGGAAGCAGAGTGCAGAGACCTGACACTGTTTTTGCACTTCAATGTTTTTTTTTGTTTTCTTTCCAAATTATACAGTGGCATGATGTGAAGTGAACAGATGGACATTTACAAATGAATGCTCCTCTTTAACTGATTACAGACACCGTAACTTACCTGTACGTTGCAGCTTTCTTCCAGGTCTGAGTGCACATGCATGCGCACCTGGAAACTTGAGTTGCCATTTGCTGCAGCACAAGCCAATCAGTGGGATCCGCTGATTGGCTAAACAAATGACAGAAGAGAGTCCTGGGTTGGTAAGCAACACAGGACTCTCTACAGACAGCAGTGATGTGCCTTTTTTTTCTCCCTGCAAAGTAAGGAGTAAAAAATGGCACATTGCTTAGTAAAAACAGCACTCATTAACATAATAAACATTGTTAGGCACATAGGTAACGCCTTCATTGGCACTAAATATTAACCCCTTCCTAGCCAGTGTCATTAGTACAGTGGCAGTGTATATTATCCGCACTGACCACTGTATTAATGTCACTGGTAATGTCAGTGTCAGTTTGTCAGTCCCCCCCCCCCCCCCCCCCCCAAGCATCAGTTAGTGTCAGATTGCCTGCTGTTCTATCACAGTCCTATCATAGTCTTACTATAAGCCACTGATCACCACCATCACCAGTATAAAAAAAAAAAGTACTAGTATCTATACCATAGCTTGTAGACGCTATAACTTTCAAGCAAACCAATCAAGATACACAAGATTTTTTTTTTTACCAAAGACATTGTTTACCAAAGACAATCACAAATTAGATTTTTTTAAGTATTTTATTGGATATGTTTTATAGCAGAAAATAATTTTTGGTCTTTTTTGGAAAAAAATAAAAAACCCAGTGGTGATCAAATACCACCAAAAGAAAGCTCTATTTGTGTGAAAAAATAAATTCTGTTTGGATACAGCGTTGCATGACCGTGCAATTACCAGTTAAAGTAAAAAAAATGGCCTGGTCATGAAGGAGGTAAAATATTCCGGAGCTCAAGTGCTCAAACACCAAAAACGTAAAAAGGGCCCTATCAAGATAAAAAAAAAAATACCACCCTCTGAAGCAAAAGTCCATTTTTTCTTTTACTACTTGCTGTCCATAGACTATTTTTAAATATCCTGGACTAAATGGGTAAGGCAAGGGTAAGGCAAGGGCATGACTGCAGCCAGCTTAATATTCTTTTTTCAGACAGCTCCAAGCTTTCATGTAAAAGTGATCCAAATGTCTTTAGAGACATCCAATTACTTGTAGGGTACTGCAAATATGACACACACCCTCTCTATACCCCCCATGTTGTGCCTGGGGTTTCCTGTTCCTCTGGGGAGCCTGGGACCATAATAAGGGCTGTCAGAAAAGAGAAAAGAAGCAGATCACAAAACATCCATGTCCTGGTCTGCTCTGAAATTACTAAATCTGAAAATGCTAAACTCTGATCATTGTACCCCAATTTGTTATATTTTTCCAAAAATTGGGTATTATAATGTGTCTGTGTGCATTAGTTTGCATTAATCAGACAGCTCCAATGTTTCATGTAAAAGTGATCCAAATGTCTTTAGAGACATCCAATCACTTGTAGGGTACTGCAAATATGACACACACCCTCTCTGCACCCCCCACTGTTGTGCCTGGGGTCTCCCGTTCCTCTGGGGAGCCTGGGACCATAATAAGGGCTGTCAGAAAAGAGAAAAGAAGTAGATCACAAAACATCCATGTCCTGGTCTGCTCTGAAATTACTAAATCTGAAAATGCTAAGCTCTGATCATTGTACCCCAATTTGTTATATTTTGCCAAAAATTGGGTATTATAATGTGTCTGTGTGCATTAGTTTGCATTAGTCTGAAAATTTGTTGGATAAACAGTTTCACAAATATCGGGAAAGCTTACAAACTGCATAGGGAGAGATTAGTGTCAGTTAGGAAAGTGAACTTTAAATCTGATTGCTTTGGGCACCTAATCCCTTTGCTATTTTTTGTTATTAATGTTGAAGTAATTTTGTCTTTCATTTTATTTTGTGGTTGATTTAAAGTCCAGTGGTCACTTTTTTTTTGTTTTGTTTTACTGAAAGGCTTCCCTCATTAAACTTTAAAAGTTTTTTTGGACCAAGCTGGTCTATTTTCCTCATTAATATATGCACCTACTGTAAACCAGGGACAGGATCTAACCTGTCTGATGTGGGTGTGCAGTACAAAAATGTCAGGTGGGCAGAAGATGGGAGGTCAACAGGAAAGTGCACAGGGGGGTCAGCAGGGCAGATAATAGGGTAAAGACTTTGTAAGACAGTGCACAGGGGTTATAAGTTTGTAGGGCTGTGTACATGTGTCCACGTGGTGGAGGACATGGGTCAGCAGAGCAGTGTACAGGAGTCAGCAGAACTGAGGATAGGGGTCAGCAGAGCACGGGTTTCAGCAGGGTGGAGAAAAGGGGTTAGCAGGGAGGTGGACAGGAGTCACTGCTGGCAGGGCAGAGGACAGGGGTCACTGCTGGCAGGGCAGAGGGCAGGGGTCACTGCTGCTAGGTTAGAGGCCAGGGGTCATTGCTTTTAAAATCATTTCCAGACAGTATAGTGGCAGGATAGGGCAGTATATTGGAAGGTTAGAGCAGTATAGTGGCAGGTTAGGATAGTATAGTGGTGGGTTGGGGCAGTATAGTGGCAGGGTTAGGGCAGTATAGTAGCAGGCGAGGGCAGTATAGTGGTGGGTTAGGGAAGTATAGTGATGGGTTAGTGCAGAATAGGGGAAGGCTAGGGAAGTATAGTGGAGAGTTAGGGTAGTATAGTGGTGGATTAGTACAGTATAGTGGTGAGTTAGTGCAGTATAGTGGTAGGTTAGTGCATTATAGTGTTGGGTTAGGGCAGTATCATGGTGTGTTAGGACAGTATAGTGGTGGGTTAGGGCAGTATAGTGGTGGGTTAGGGCAGTATGGTGGTAGGTTAGTGCAGTATAGTGGTAGGTTAGGGCAGTAAAGTGGCAGTTTAGTGCAGCATAGTGGTGGGTTAGGGCAGCATTATGCTGGGTTCGGATAGTATAGTGGTGGGTTAGAGCAGTATGGTGGTAGGTTAGTGCAGTAAGGTAGTGATTACTGCAGTACAGAGGTGGGTTAGGGCAGTATAGTGGTGGATTAGTGCAGTATGGTAGCGGGTCAAGGCAGTATAGTGGTGGGTGGGTTAGTGCAGTATAGTGGTGGGTTACAGCAGTATAATGGTGGGTTAGGGCAGGCTAGGGTAGTGTGTAAAGACTGTTGGCTCAGTCCCTTATCCCATGGGAGGAGTGGAGGAGGCAGCCACACCCCTGGCCCTGCCCACCGACTCCCACTGCCCCTGGAGATATTGCAGATCCCCAAGGGACAACCTCAGTAGCTTAACACAGTTTTTTCATTAAGTATAATTTTTGACAAATGGTAGCAAAAAGATTTCGTACTTAGAGATCAAGTCTTCTTGCTGTCTCCCTCTGGAATGGCCTTCTTTTAAAAAGATGATACTCAGTGCAGCAAAGCTGTACAGTTTTTATACAGAGTCTCAGATAGAAAAGAGTGTAATTGGATGTTTTCTCCTGAAATATACCTACTTTACTTCTCTGGAATTCCTCTTATTGAATAGATGAAATTCTGTGAAGCAAAACTGTACAGTTTCTATAGTGTCTCAAAAAAGTACATTGTCATTGATTATGTATGTGTGACATTTGCCTGCTCTCTTCCTCTAAAATTGCATCCTAAGAAAAAGAACAAGCTTGTGTGCGGCAAATCTGTATCATTTTTTTTTATTTTCTGTCTCAGAAAAATATAGTCTACTTTAATATTGGGTTTAAAAGGTGTGCATTAACTCAGGTTACAGTTTTTAAACAAACCGAGAATATTCTTTTAATTTTCAAATGCAATCTGTTTGTTCTCTACCAAAACTGTTCAGTACTAAAGCAGTACTTCAAAGCTGTACATTTTTTTTCCATCTTCAGTCTTTTTTGCCAGATGCAATTTACTTTTTCCCTGAGAAATAGCAGCCAAAATTTGTGCTGCAAATATGTGACATTTTTCTGTTTCAAATTTCAATCAAAAAACACATTTTTTTGGTTCCATGTGCAAAATGTCTGCTCAATCCTTCAGAAATTATGGTGTTGCCAAAAGGCCTTAATACGTATGATGATAATTTGTAACTTTCTCTCTAACTAAATGTTTAGGTAATCCCTAGTGGTAATGGTAACAAGGGATGAGATTAGTGTCCATTATAAACATTAGTTTGGACCAAACACTGGCTGTTTGGACATTTATCTGAACACCAGATATTTAGAGAATTTGGGATGGATGAATGAGACAGCTGTCAATGGTTGTTAAAGAGTAGTGAATGTTTGCAGCCACTGTATCCTTACCAACCTCTGACCTCATCTGGCTCATTCCCTTACATGCAGGGAATCCATTGCCATGTGAGAAAATGTGCTGGGAATGGAGCAGGTTATATCATTGCCTAAATATGGCCACATGACCATATTTGGTTAATAACATTGTCCAAATATGGCCATGGCCATATTTGGGCAATGATGTCACCACTGTTCCCACCTCTTCCTTTATATAACTAATGAAAGCTTGTCATTCTGCTAGTGTTACTGTTGTGGGTTGGTATTGTGCATCGGATTGCTGGGGTTTCTATTTGGCGAATTGGAGGTGGCAAGCAGTGTGACTGATGATAGCTCTACAATGAGGGACTTTTTGGGGGGATTTGTTATTCAAATAAGGGATTTGTCAAATGTTTGGGTGTCTTTATTTCTAGGTTTTCTAAGCTACATTTTTTTATGTGAATGAGTAGGCTTACTATGCACCACATGCTGATTCATGTGGGGGGTTCAAATCTGGGGGTCCCCTTATTATTAAAGGGGGCTTCAAGATTCCAAAATGCCTGCATATCCCCATGATGACCTGGCAAGAGCTGTGGGAATGAGGCCCTTGTCCTCTACATAGGGACAAGGGATGGAAAAAGTCCACACTGTGGACAGCTGCTACTGTGATAACTCTACTATCCACTTTTCCTCTTTCCTGTTTCTTTTGCCATTTTTTTTTTATGATATAAAGAGCATAGAACACATCCCATCAGGATGCAATCATCAAAAAGTAACCCTATAAAGGTGTTTAAACACTGTATCCTTTTGCCAAATTAAAAGCAAATGTTTTGTCTCTAAATACACCTATTAGAGATAGAACGCGAAGAAATGAAAAATTCGATTCTGTCTGATTCGGCGAATTCCAGTGTGAAATTTCGATTCGATTGCGAATTTTCTCCGCTACGAAGATGACTTATTTAAAGGGGTTTTTTAGGCTTCAGAGAGCCTTTAAATTAGTGCAAGGGAAAAACTGTACCTTTTTTAAATGCCCTTTTTAGATGGGAAAAGGAGAAAGGAGAAAAAGGAAAAAAGGGTTGAAAAGAAAGGGGAAAGGGGAAAAAAAGGAAAGAGAAAAGGAAAAAGGGGTAAGGGTTTAAAAAAGAAGGGAGAAGGAAAGAGAAGGAAAAGGAAGAAGGAGAAAAGGAATTTAAGGAGAAGGATGAGAAGAAAGGTTTTTAAAGGTAAGGGGGGCGAAAAGGAGAAAGGTAATTGAAAAAGAAGGAAGGGAAAGGAAAGAGAAGGAGAAGGGTGGAAAAGGGAAAGGAAGAAGGATGAGATGAAAAAAGGCTAAAATAAAAAAAATTAAAAAAAAGGGCGGAAGGAAAAAAAAAAAAAAACCTTAAAAAAAAAAGGGGAAAAATTTTCCAAAAAACCCAACCGTATTTAAAAAGGGTGAGAAGAAAGAAGGATGAAAGAAGGAAAAAGGTGAGGAAGAAAAGGGGAAAAAGGGTGGAAAAAGGGGAAGGGTGGAAAAAGGGGGAGAAGGATGAGGGAAAAAGGAGAAATGAAAAAAGGAAGGGGGAGAAGGGATGAAAGAAAGGAAAGGAAGGAAGAAGGAAGGGAAAGGGGAAGGATGAGGGAAAAAGGAGGAAAAGGGGAGAAGGAAAGGGGAAGGGAATAAGAGAAGGAGAAGGATGAGAAAAAGGAGGGAAGGGGGTGAGAAAAGGAGAAGGAGAAGGATGGAAAAAA